GGTTTTACTTGGAATGTCTGGTCTAATACATTGATCAAAATAATGAAGACATTTGGAAACCCATCCAATTTTCTAGGGGACCTGAATTGACTCTCTTTTCCAGACTGATCGATCAGACCTTGCTTTCCTGATTGAGGGCACTTAGACCAATGGATGACGTCATCTCTTTAAACAGGGACTTTATTTCCATTCCTTGCATGCCACCTGTTTGGTTTTTTTTTTTTTTTTTTCAACATTTTTCCATCTCTTTCTTCATAATTTTTTCAGTTTCAATTCCTTTTGTTAGTATTTCTTTGTCTCTTGGTCAAGAAATACTTACTGAGTATCATCTCATGTTGAGCACAAGGTGGTTTGTACTGGAGATACAACACTTGCAAGACCCAGAGATGCTAGGTAAATCTATTTACAAATGCTGTTATTTGATATCAGGGCCAAAGTTAGTATTTTGCCAGTATCTTACGTCTTACCATGGTGTAAGAAATAAAGGTGTTTGCCTCTTCTGTCACATGCAGTTGGATATACGTTCCCTTTCTTCAGACAGGCCTTGATCATTTTTTCATAACTGGTGCCTTTCCCTCATTTTTTTTTTTGTTTCAAGGCACAAAAGCAGTTGTTATCATCACTTACATTAACTCCCTGAAAGTGAATGGGTTTGTGAAGAAGAAGGCCTAGAAGGAGAAGATTCTTGTGTGCCTTCCACCACCCTATGGGCTGGGGCTGACTCAGAGAGCAGCTCTTCCACCTGCCTGTTCCTTTGCATATCACATGCATAGTATTCTGTTCTCTGGGGATCCTTTCCCAGAGATAGGCTGTCAGGGTGGTCCTTGTTGTGATGCACAAGGCTGCTGTGGCACAGGCCCAGGAGGAGCACACTATGATTGGTGGTTGGAGACTGAGAGGGGACAGGGATGATTGCACTTGAGGCAAACAGAGCTTTGCTCAGAAGCATTTATGTTGTCACCATTGGGGCTGATGAAAGCCTTTCAAAGCCATAAACACTGAGAAGTTTATGTGGCTAACCCCTTTCCTCACCACCACATGTCATTTATACTAAAATAGACCGTAAAACACAAAATTGAGGTTTTTCTAGTTGCGAAGTTCATTGATGCTGAGCTTTCCTCATTCTCCTTACCTCTGTACTGCTGCCCTAGACCACTGCCATCTGCCACGGTACAATCAGCAGAGTCTTGCTTAGAGAGTTTTGTTGGGATAGGGCCAAATTGGAGCCCTGCCCTGCAGGCCTCTTCTGTGACCCTCCTTGGAAATGGTCCTCCCCAGGGGGAGAAATGCCACTGTTACCCATAGAGCTTTTCCCTAGAAGGTGGCAGTAGGGGCAATGACCAGCTTGTCCTTTCCCCTCTTGAAGAACCTCTGAACCTTTAGAGGGTGACCTACACTAAGCAGTGTGGTTGAGATCCAGCACACAGAAGAATAAAAGACTCACAAAGCAGGCTTACTCTGACCACATGAACTCTAGTCTATTGTACTCTGTTGTTTTATTTTAGGATGTTTCACTCAAGTAATGCTTCTTGGCACAGTAATTTGACTGAACAACCCACAATCTGCAACCTGCTGATCAGTGCTCCCTACCCCATCTCCCAGTCTTTCCCTGCCCTGTGGATACCAGGTTTTCCTGCTGAAGCACTTATCTTCACCCCTGCTGTGTCTTCTACCCAGAACTCCTGCCCACTTCCATCCATGAGCCTGTGAAACACAAGTGGCCCATTTTTCCTGATCTCACTGAAGCACACATGGTTTAAGAAGCCTTCCCCATACTGCTAGCAGTAACCTGGCCACATTCCCACTGGTCTCACTTTCTACCTGATTTTGGCTCTTAGCACCAAGGGCCTGCATCACTGAGTGTGGCTTTTCCATTTACTGGCCTGTAAGCTTACAGAGCCTAGGCCCTGTCTTATCAATCTTTGTCCCTTGTGCATCTGACCCTAATGTGTGATGCACAGTAGGCACTAAGTTGATGTTTCTAGATCTGCATTAAAAATGATATTGCCTTGAGTGGAGAAACCAACTTGAACTAGCTTTTACAACAGAACACATCTTTCCAAGTCTTCCACGCAGGTGGTCTTTACATTGACTTTATTCATTATTTATATATCAGCTGCTGAAGCCTTTCCATAAGAAGCATTGAAATAATGATTACCAGTCACCCAATGTTTGAGTCTCTCAATTTATCTTTGAGTTTAAAGATAAATAGAAACACTGGTGTTATATACAATGGATTTCTAAAAACTTTTCCTTGAAAGCATAAAGTATGTAAAATAAGTGCTTTTCAGCATGATGCTTTTTTTTCTTGTCTAGTGTTGACTGAAGTCAATCTCTTGGTGAACTGCATCCTAGAATTGTACTAGCCACATACAGCAATGCTGCTGCTGCTGCTTTTAAAATACTGATCATCTAGGGTAGAACTGGTAAAAAGCTTCCTTACTGATGAGGAAACTGAGGCACACAAGGCCCGATGATTGACAGGAGGTCACACAGCTGTCTCTCAGTGCAGTTAGGTGAGATACACACCTGCCGGTTACTGGTCTGTGCTTTCTCCACACTAACATCCCTTTGTATGTGCTCTTGTTAACAAAACTTGTCTTCAACATCACATTCTTTTGACAGTTTCTTGCTTTAAGCTTGTATTTCTTGGGTAAAGTGGTGGGCAGGCTACTATTTCAGCCTTCATTTAAGATGTTAATATTTTCAAGCTGGCAGTGTGTATACTGTTGCTTTCTAAACTAAGCTTGTTGCCTGGTACAAAAAAAAAATCTGCTAATTTTCACCTGGATTTATAGATTTAGTGTTTGAAGTTCACCTGTCCCCATTAAAGAGCTTAGCACAGAAAAAGAAATGTAAATAGAATTCTTAACAAGTACTCTTGGGTTTCAGAAAATACCATTTCGATGTCTCAGAAGCTATAAGGAGAGCAAGTAACTTGTTAGGTTATGAATCAAAGCATATATTCTGTGATCTTTGGGGTCATTTAGTTGGGTTAGATGGAATAGTCACTGACATTTATTTTCTTTTATTTCCTTCCATTTTAACTCTCACTCAGCCTTTATACTTAGAAAAGGGGCAGACATTGAATTTCTTTCTTGCCTGTACCATGGACCCACAGTGTCTAGGACCCAGCACTATTGTTCCCTGCACTAGTGTTTGGGGTTTGGGACTGGCTAGACCTTTTGAGAACTCTGTCTTCATTTGTCACATTGTTACTATGGGAAAGTGGCAACCTACAAATTAACTTTGGGGCCTCCTGCTCACAGAAGAAGAAAGCTCATTTCTTTCAAGCTGATTAGCTAAGCAGAGCTCATTAGCTTAGCTTGGGTTAGCAGTCTGATCTCATTAGCTAATGTGACATTGTAACATGTGCATCTTTAGCCACAGTTCAGGAAGATGGAGGTGACTGAGAAGGTGGAGGCTCAGACCACAGCACCGCCCCCTACAGAGAAGGGAGGTCTCCCTGGCCTGGGCTTCTGCTCAGCCAGCACCACATGGGCCTAGGCAGGTGCAGGGCACAGGGGCCACCCAAGTAGGGGGTCATTTCTAGTGTGGCCTGCCTGTGAATGCCAGACACCCCAGCCAATAAGAGGTACTGTTACTGGTTTCAGTTTACAGATGACAGAACAGATTAAGTTGTATATCATTAGAATCTGTTGTACATAAACAATATTTGTACAAAGTGGCAAAATGGCTGTTACCTAAAATAAGGGACAGTTTTTATCCTCTTACACTAATCTGTAGGGCTATTAATAAATATTCTGCTTTGCTAAGACTCCGCAATGCTGACAGAAGGTTCAGTGGATATTTGGGACTTGCTTGATTGAAAATGTCTCCCCATGTCCCTAGAAAGTACACATTTAAAGGGTAAAAATAGCTTTTGACAGTTCCTACTGAGATTCAGTAGGAATGAATGAACCTAGAGCATGTGGTATTGTGCGTGGCTCATAAACTCCAAGTGGAAGTTGGATCTGTTTCTTTAGTTAGATAACTTGCTTTTAAATTAAATTTTTATGCTGAATTCACGGAAAAGTTATGAAAAGAGTATAACAAAGTTTTTAGTTTGCTGGTTAATATTTCAGCTCTTCCTCATCTATCTTTAGCCATTGATATGTCTTTCTGTTAAAGAGTTAGGAGTTAGTGAGTGGATTCTTCGTGTATTATTGATAGTTCAGAAGAAAAGGTATGCAAGTGAGATAGAAGCACTAGGTGGGGAAAAAACAGTTCTTCTGTGTTAGCCCATGCAGATGTGTACACATCTGCCTTCAGAAGTGGCGATTCCAACCTTGGTGGGCAAAGAACAACAGCTGAATCTCTTCCATTTAACTAAATTTTTTTCTGCTCATTAAAATATATATGTATGCTAAGTAGGTCAGGAATATTGTATGTTTGAGTCTGGATCCAGAGGCATGAAATATGAAGAGAAACCCATTTGGTAAAATTTTTTATACCATAAAGATTCTCTGCAAAACCTTTCCCAGGTAGACTTCAAAAATTGTGGGTTTCAGTTTTGTTTTGTTTTTTGATGTTCTTTACTCTTGGAGTGCAGAAATTTTGGTTGGAAAACCTCTTCAAGGATCCGTATTAACAATAATGGTAATGAGGAAGATGTGTCGTACATGCTGTTAATAATGATACAATGTGTATTTGCCTAAGGAAGTGGATTCTGAGCAATGCTTTACCAAGTATAAATGATTTTTTAAATCATAACTGTCTAACAGTGCTTGCCATTTTGCAAGTGAGCTGTAGTTAGCACTTCAATGTACTGACTGGCCTCAGAAATAAAGTTCTGTATAAGCTGCTCTTGGGGAAGGAGAAGAATGGGATCTGTGAGAGGAATGAGAAGAAAGAAGGTGAAAAGGATGTGAGTGTCAGAGTGGTGCACGTATCTGGCTATTCTTAAACCTGTGATGGATCCTTGGGTATCACTGTGAGTAGCGTCATGATATTGATAGGTTAAGATGTTGAATTAACAACCCATGGTTGGATGTTTTCAGAAAAATGTAACTCACAAAGCTGGCTGGAATTTGGCTCCTTGAGATAGTGAACATTCCCAGCCTCAGGACTATATGTCTAAGCCAGGGCGTCCCAGCAGGATCCTGCAGGCTCCATCTCTAACGTGTATGGCACCTTGTGTAGACCTGAAAAGCCACTTCTTCCTTAAGAAAAATGTAAGTATTTTTATTAAAACATTGCATGTCTCTGCTGTAAAATTTCCAACATAAAGCAATAACTCTATGATACCTACAGTGTAATGTAAATGGTACCCTTACTTAACAGTGTTGCTGACCACAATTTCCTTTGGTAAGCCAGAATTTGCTGTGTGCAAGAAAATTTCCCAGCGGTTCCTTAGGAGAAGAACTTACTCTTAGCAGTGATTTTTGTAGACTTCCCAGACCAAGTCACTTTTTATCTAAGAAGACACAGATGAAGAGAAACTTGAAAATTGCTGGCCTGGGGCAAGGCTCAAGTGGTAGAGCACCTGCCTACCAATTACACGAAGACCTGTACTACCAAAAAGAGGGAGGGAGGGAGGGAAGGAGGGAGAGAGAAGGAAGGAAGGAAGGAAGGAAGAAAGAAAGGAAGGAAGGAAAGAAAATTGCTGTGAGTGCTTTGTAATGAGATTGGTGCCCCTTCATCTTCAAATAAGGGCAGATCTAGGTGCTTGTATATGCATTTCATTTCAGTTTGATGAGATTGTTCCCATGTGCCTCTTCCTTATCTGTTCCCATCAGCCATGTTTATTTTGGGGTGACATGCAAACTTAAGACTAAAATCATTGGTTGAGTGGGTTGCTTGACAAAGGAAACTCAGGATTTACTTCTCAGAAATCAAATGTACACCTGCTGAGTACACCATTCTCTTGTAGGTTCTGCTATGTTGCTAAAAAATATGAAACTCTGTCCACCAGAAACAATAAAGGCCAAATGTAAAAGTAGGCTTAAGAAGTCAGTCAGATATGTTAATGATGATAAATCTTTAAGATGTGATTTTTTTTGGCAGGATGTGATATTAGGGTAAATCTCTATTTTATATACCAGATTCAGTGAGCACTAGGTTTTGCTGTAGATAATAGAAACTCCCAAGTCACAGTGGCTTAACCAAGATAAAGATTTCTTTTTTTGCCCACATTAAAAGAAATAAAAGTCAGAGGTGGCAGACCAGCCTGGCCTGGTGGCTTTGTCTCTACAACCCTTCAGAGACCCCAGTTCCTCCCTGCTCATCATGTCCTATTCCCTAGAATGTGACCCTTGTTCTCCTGTTCCAAGATGGGAGCCAGGGCTCTGGCTATTGCATCTGACTTCCAGGCAAGGAGGATAAGAGAAGAGGGGCAAGAGGAATCCCCAAATATTCCTTTAGAGCTGTTCATGGCATCCCCACTTGCATCCATTTTGCTGGATCCTAGTCTCTGTGTCCTAGCTAGCTAAAGATCAGTTGGGGAATGAGTATGAGTTCTGTGCTTCTGCATGCCTCACTAAATCTGTTACCACAGAAGATGAGGCAAACAGATACCAAGGGACAGCCAGCACTTTCTGCTTCCAGGTTCCAGGGGGAAGTAGCATTTGAATCCACATTGGGCCAGGCTAGGTGGCACATCAGTGGCCCTCTGTGACATTTCTATGACAGTGTATCAGGTGCTCTGGTGGCTCCTGCTTTCCAGAGGCTGAGGCAGCTGCAGCTGGCCCATGTCTATGACCGATGCCGTTAGCTCACTCCCTGTTGGTTCTTCTTAGTAGAAGTGATGTAAGAACTGTTCACTTAGGTGACTCCCTTTCTCTGCTGGTGAGGTGAGGACATGGCACCCTTAGGTGCTGGGTAAATGTGGTATTCCATAGTTATTTACTGAGCACTAATTTTAAATCAAACAGTAGAGTAGAGTAGGGGAAAAAATAAAACTCTGCCCTTCAGAAACAATAAAGGCTAAATATCGAAGTAGGCTCAAGAAGGAGCCATCCTTTGTCCTCAAAGCATTAACTTCAGGGGAGGGTGGAGTGATTGAATGAAAAAAATGAGTGAATGGACCAAGTCATCTCCTCCTTCCTTTTCTTCACCTTTATGGCATCCCATGCAAGTTCCTGTATGATTTCCTTTCACCTCTAAGGGCATGATGAGAGGTTGGTGTTCAGCCTCCATGGCCTCCCAGCAGCTGTTCTTACAGGCCTTCAAGTGCTTACTGATAGTGGAAAGAGGATGCTTATCAGTGCTTCCCAAATATCCTTTCCTGGTGGCTTTGTTTGTATCCGGGAGCCTACTGGTACCTAATAGCATTTGTTTTCATGGATTCTCTCTGTCCTAAGGTCAGCTCAAGCTGTAGTCAAAACATGTATTATACTAATTTTATAATCACCTTCCTTTGAAGGTGTGAAAAATAAATAAGAGTGGAATGTACTATTTGGATATAGGGGATACTTGGCATAAAATTGGTCAGATTTGTTGCAGTGCATTTTGTTTGAAAAAAAGTTGTTTGAAAATACAAGAATTTACATATCAAGACATACAGACATTTGAGCCAGAAATAATTTTGGGAAAAAAAATCACCAACTGAGTTACCAGGGGTTAGGGGAAGGGAGGGAGGATGTGACTCTAAAGAGGAAGTTCCAAGAGTTATTTTATTCAATAAGATGGTTCTGTATCTTGATTAATCTAACACACAATAAAATGCCATACATTTGTACCCAAAGATACACTTAAAAACAAATGCATACTAGGAATGGTCCCATCTGGAGAAGCCTGTAGTCTGATTTACCATACTGCACCAACCACTTTCCCTTTGTTGTGTAAGATGTCACTATTGGGGAAACTGGAAGATGGGTACGTTTTTAGAAAATAAGATCTGTGAAAAGAAGGTTAAGCTTAAGGAAAATAAGTAAAGGAAAGAAGAGAAGTTAAAGGGTTGAGGACTGTCTGCATTATTTTTGCAACTTCTATGAGTCTATAATTATTTCAAAACAGAAAGTTAAAGAGTTTTCCATGTGCCTGTGATATGAGGTTGCTGGTTTGGATGCACAGCTGTTGTGAGTGTGTGAGGTTGGCGGCTCTCAGTGAGTTAGCAGCACCCGGGGAGGAGGAGGAAGAATAGCCTTGAATCTGGTGTGTTGAGTGCTTTTTCAATGGCTGAGTAATAGAATACAGTGTAGAGTGGAAATTGTCTTGAGTGGAAATGATTATATTACTAAAGTGACTTTGGTGACCTGTAGAGGTGAAGTCAAGAGCACATGCTTCACCTGGGACAGGAAAGAGTGGACTAGGGCCCAGCCAGGTTCAGAGTCAGAGCAAAACTGTGCTGTGTTGTACACATGGAGTTCTGGGAATAAGTGTGAAGAAGGATGCAAGTGAGCACAAAGGGTAAGAGAGGAACGTGTAGGAAAGAACAAAGACTACAGAATTAGTGTTTTTGCTCCAGAGGTTACAAATACAACATCTTTCAAATAAGTGTCTTTTTAAGCCAGGCATGGTCGTGCATACTTGTAATCTCTAGCGAGGCACAGGTAGGAAGACCAGGCAAAAACACGAGATCCTATCTGAAAAATAAATGAATCACAAAGGGCTGTGGGTATTGCTCAAAGTGCTTGAAACCCTGAGCTAAAAAAGAAAAAGTATAATTTAAAGAGACATTAGAGTTAGCTGTTGGGGATTGTCAAGGAAGTAGAAGGAGGTTAGCCCACACTGCTGAGTGACAGATGGAGTGAGAATTGAGGAATAAAGCCCTGGATTTGAGGGAAGAAGGGAGGAAGCACTGAGGGAGGGAGAGGGGGAAGGGAGCATTTAATTTCTGCCTGTAGAGGTGTCAAGTGGCTGCTTTTGGTGTATGTATTTGAGTATGAGGGGACCTCCTGGGAGGCAGGGGTCAGCCCAATAATTCCTCTGACCTTTAAGTCAAGATCTCATTGTTCCAAGGCCAAACATCTGAGGCATACTCTCTGTGATAGAGGTTCTCTCAGGAAACCCACCAGAGATGTCTCCCAGAGACAGCTGATGGTAGCTCCTGGCCTCACAGTCCACTTGGTGTCCTGTGGGTGGACACAGCTTCTCTGATTCTGTTTCCTAATACTCAATGGTATGATATCACCGTGGGACAATTTGCCTCAGCAAGGAGAATTTAATTTCGTAGTTTTAAAATTACCTGAAATAGCAGGTAATGTTCTTTCACATTGGTGTGTCCCCACTCCCCTTTTAGGTATCTCTTTTAAAGCCTTTTTTTTTTTTAAGTCAGAAGGCAGCCAAACATTTCTCACATTCAGAAACTTAGTGGGAAGGATGTGTGGGTGCTGAAAGCTTTCTACACTGCATTTTCTAAAATGTCTTTTTTCCATCTAAAGCATGTCTCCATGGAACCTCAAAACTCTTCTCTACCCACAAATTATTCTTTTCTTTCTTCAGAAAATTTGTGCCTGTGTTCAGGGTTGCATCGGTGATGGTCTCCCATGAACATTTGCTGTGGGTGATGTTTCCTGCTTATTAAGTGCTCCCGTCTTCCTTCCTCCCCAGAAAGGCCAAGGACCCACGGCCCTGTGGGTCAGCACCACAGGGGTCCCTGAGATTGTTCTTTCATTACATACCTGCTTACTTTTATAGAAGTTAATGTATCACTCGCATTGCAGCATCACCAAGGCATTGGGCTCCACTGCACCTCATGCCAGTTACTTGGGAATTTGGACACTCAGTGTTGGCCTGGGGAGTACTCAGTTTTATGGTACGGTAAGGGCACAAAATTGATAAGAGATTCTGAATGTTTATATTGTAGGTTCCTTTTCCAAAATGACATATTAATTGTCTCACTCATTAATTCCACAGGTACACATGTAAATTACTGCACTAGGAGTTGGAAATTAACTAGCAACCAAAACAGACAAGGTCCTTGCACTCATGCAACTTAGAGTTAGGGGGTAGTTAGTCTGGGTTCTCAGAGAAGCATATGCAAAGGGTTTAGACATATTGGGATTTTCTTAGAAGTGGCCCAATAAGGGGGAGAATGGGGAGGGAGTCTGCAATCCTGGGGGAGCTTTTGGATCTTGCAGGGCTGGCCCCAGTGAAAGTGAGAGCAAGAGCAGGCTGGGTAGAAGCATCCTATGTGACTTAGGGAAGATTTGGAACAGCCATTGGAGAGGCTTTGAGTCAAAGCCAGAGGACAGAGGTCCCAGAACCCTCAGGAGAGCATCTGTTGTAATGTCCCTATTGAATTCAGCATCTGGCTGGGGCAACCCTGAGAGGTGAGGCCTCTCACAAACACATAAGAGGAATTTCCTCTTGGGGCAAGTGGTGCTCCTATCCATTATGCTCCCTGGGCTAGGCTATAGGAAGTTCAGTCTCCAGCTACCTCAGTAGTAGGGATGGGCAAAGATAGTGACCCCTGAATCAAAAATGTAAAATAAGAGCTGCAGTGAGGTTTATGTGAGCCAGGGATACTGTGTTAGGGGGTGTAGTGGAGCTATCTAACCCAGCATGGGCCTGATGCCAAGGAAGGCTGTCACCTTGTGGGGAGCTGAGCTCTGAAGACTGAGGAGGAGCCCACCAGGCAGGGTGGGCATGGAGAGGAGGGCTTTCCAGGCAGAGATTTCCTCCTGGTCCTTTTGTGGGCCATGCTCACATGTTAGATGCACAGTAGGAGATCAGGAGCTGGGGGAAGAATAGTGTCAGAGTGTGCTTGAGTTGACAATACTGGTTTGAGTGTAGAGCACTGACTGGAAGGGCAGGAGTGGATGGGGAACAGTAGAAAGGAGGCTGTGAGAAAATCCGGGTGTGGCAAAGGAGACAGCAACAAGACAAGTGTTTAGATGTGACATTCTGGAGAAGTAGAGTGGGCTGCATGTAATGTTGAATGGGAAGAGTGTTGAAGACGAAGGGGGTGGTCAGGGCTAAATGAATGCCTGTGCTAAAAACAGCTGCTGAATTTGGTGGCATACTGGTCATTGGTGACCTTAACAAGAGCTGTTTGGGTGGAATAATGGGGATACCAGATTGTAATGGGCTGAGGAATTATGGAAGGCAGAAAGTAACAAATTCTACAAGTGGCCATGAAAGGGGAAAAGGTCAGCAGCTAAAGAAGGTGTTAAGCTAGGAGGGTTTTGCTGTCGTCATTGTCATTTTAATGGTAGATGCTTAAATAAATTTACTAAATCATCTAAGAGAAAGAGCTGGTTTATTAGGCACCGCAGGGCTCCTGAGAAGACAGGACAGGGTCAGCTCCAAAGTAAGACCAAGGCCTTGGCCTTGGAAAGAGGACCTTCACCATGTAACCTGAGGAAGAAAGGCAGATGTGGAAGTCCATAATGTCTCCCACAGTGGTCAAAAGACTACTTTGAAGTTCTTGTGATGGGTCCTCATTTGCTTTCTCTGACATGGTTCATGTACCTTGGGTTTTAGCCTGGATGATGATGACATTTCTTGTTTTGCACTATAAACTCTATTGCATATGAAGATACTGTCCTGTGCTTTTTGGGAATGTCTGTAAGTAGATAGGATTTTCTGAAGCATTTAACATTGGTGGTGATGTATGGGACAATAGCAAACCCTACAGCTTTATTACCAAGGAGGTGTGTAGGGAAGAAAAAGAAGGAGTATAAAAGGAATGTCATCAGCTATTTCAGAACAGTGAGCAGAAACAGATTAAAAACATCTATTTTCACATGATTACCCTTCTACCCAGCCCACTGGGCTTCAGGTGGGTTGGCAGAGCTAACAGGTGGGAGGTCACTGTTGGATTTTAAATGATCCTGGTCTGAGGCCAAGTTTCCCTCAAGCCTGCTAGAGACTTCTATTGTAAATGAATTCCCTGCAGATTCTGCACAGAGTGACAGCCAGGTGCCTTCCTCGGCCTTTGGTGAAGACTTTCCCACTAGAAACTGAGCTGGGCTTTCTTGTTTGTTTGGATTTACTCCATTGCATGAAGAAAAGTCACTTCCTGGGACAGAAATTTCTGGCTTCCTAGATTGATTCATTACTTCTCAAAAACTAAAGACCTGACATATTAACATCATAGAACTTGGGGCTCTGTTTCCTGCCCTTGTTTCCAAAGTAAGGGAGAAGATCTAGAGATTACTTGATAAGTGGGGATGGCAGACACTGTGCATGGGACTTGCCTATTTTTCTAAGAATCAAATCTGAAGCAGCTTTAGTCACTTTAGTTTTCAGCTGTCTTCCTTCTGGGGTTGTTTCTCCAATCATTTCTGTGATGACAGTGTGGTACATTTGTTGTAATTGATCAATCTACCATAGTAGGTTCACTGAAAGAGCACTGGGTCTTTCCTGGCTCTGATGCTGTTTGGCTGTGTGCCCTTGACTAGCTCTATTCATTTCCCTGAGAGATCTCCTTTATCACTGAAAAATATTGAATAGTTTCTAAGCTTTCTTCCAGACCCAATGACCTGAGTAGCTATAAAATTAGGTTGGCTGGCATCCCTGATTTTGAAAGCCATGTCATAGTTCTGCCTCTTCCACCTATGAAATAAAGCCAGAAGGAATATTCACATTGGCTCATGCTGCACAGAGAGGAAGGGAACTTGAGGATGTGTGGTTCTGTAGTTGGAGGTTACCAGGAGGACAATATATGATGGAGGTGATAACCATCTGTGGCTGCAGCCAGAGATTTTTATCCAGGCTGAGACATCCTCAGCTGTAGATGTGCTGGATCATACTATCAGGCCACTGATGGACCCATCAGTGATGAGACCAAATAAATTAATTTCTAGGCAGTAAATTTTATATGTATATTTGTCATTTGAATTTCTGTGAATTGTCATAATTAAGACCTTTGACCATTTTGAAAATACTTTTCATTTTGATTTAATAAATTATAAAAGTAGTACATGCTATGGTAAAAAAAATTCAAATGAGATAGAGATGTAACTCAGTGGAGAAAACTTGCCTATTATATGCAAGACCTGGGGTTTGATCCTCAGCACTGCAAAAATAAACAAATAAATTCAAACAATACAGATGCTATTCATTGAAAACTAGCCCACCTCCCATTTGCTGCTCTCTCCCCAGGTATAGCCACTGTTAGCAATTTTATGGTGTCTTTCCAGAAATGCATATGTGTATGTTGATGTATTTGCATGTGTATGAAAGCATATGTGTATATATTTGTATCTCGCACAGATGAGATCATACCATGTATATGTTGTATACCTGTTTCCTTGTTAACTAATCAAGATATCTTAGGTAGCTTTCCATGTCAGCACATACAGAGCACCTGTCTATAGGAGCTGTCTTAGCATTCAGTAGTATGGATGGACCATAATTTATTTATCTAGGATGGATATTTGAGTTTCCAGTTTTGGCAAGACTGCAGTAAACATTTTCATACATACAGTTTGACACATATGTGTGACGTTATCTATAGGACTGTATCAGATGGCTTTAAGCTGCAAGTTATAGAAAAAAGACTTTCATTAGTTGACATAATATAAAAATGTATTATCTCCCTAAGGAAGAAGCTAAGGCCAGGCAGGCTCCAGGATGTGTGGATTTATCTGATCAAGGACCCAGGCTCTTTCCTGCCCTGCACTCATGGTAGGTCTCAAGATGGCTGCACTGACTCAGGAGACTGGACAACATTCGGGGAAAAATGAGGCCACAGGTTCAGTGTGTCATTCCCAGAAATGAGGAAGCCCTACCTAGTCTGTCCCAGGACCCATTCTTAAGCCAATCCTAGGCTGGGTGGAATGTGTGTTTGGGGTGGGGGTGGGGGGTCAATTTTCATACCTCTAAATGGATAAAGTCCCACAAGTGGAATTTGTAAGTCAGCAATTCTAAAGACAAATTAAAACATTTGCAGGGTATTTCCAGATTACTTCATGAAGATACAGCACCAATTCACACTCCTGTAGGCATGAATGGAGCAGTTTTCAAGAAATGAATTACAGAGCTGCTTTTTGGAGGGTGTCTGTGAAACATGACATGTTTTTTAACATTATTTTCAATAATAATTGATATATGTGCTCTTTGTCTAGAAAAGATGTCCAAACAATGGGAGACAGAGAGGTTTAAAAAATCTAGGTCTGGGTTGGGGGTTTAGCTCAAGTAGAGTGCCAGTGTTCAAATACCAGTACTGCACCAAAAAAGAAAGAAGCATAGGTGGATGAGACTGTTCGTATTTTAAGAATAGAATGAGGCCTTTAAATTGTTAATTTTTTCAAGACTTAGGGTGTGTCTTTTAAATACACAATGAAAACCAGAGAATTATATTCTACTCTAGTCACCCCCTAAATGTTCCAGGAGATAAGCAGTTTAGTATCCAGAAACATTGTACTGCTAAACTTCTTTAAATATATCTATCAATCACCAAATAATTCACCAGGTGACAGCTTCCTTGTTGGCCAGAGCCCACACATAGGGCCCAAATAAGGGTATTTAAATAGTAAGTAACTATCTCAGTACCATGAAAGAAAGGAAAGAAGGAAGGAAGAAAAACTAGACTAAGTTACTAGGCTAGGCACAGTGGTTCAAGCCTGCAATCCTAGCTATTTAGGAGCTGAACATCAGGAGGATCATGGTTTGAGGTCAGCCCCAGCACAAAATTCTCAGGAGCCCATCTCAACCAATAAAAGCTGGGTATGGTGGCATGCACCTGTTATGCTAGCTATGCAGGAAGTGTAAATAGGAGCATTGTGGTCCTGTCTGGCCTGGGCATAAAGTGAGACCCCACCCCCAAAATAACTAAAGCAAAAAGGGTTGGGTACATGGCTGAAGTGATAGAGCACCTGCTTAGCAAGCAGGAGACCCTGTGTTCAAATCCCAGTACTGCCAAAAAAAAAAAAAAAGAGTAAGTTAACTAATCTGTGTAGTAAGAGCTGGGGGAACTTTCAATGATTCAGTTTTTATATTGGGCTATTGAATTACATTGGACTATTGAACTTCATATATTGTGTTGTGACTTGTGACCAATTTGAAATGCATGCATGGGCTTGGAGGCCATTGGTGGAGTTTCAGGCCTGAGAAATTCAAGTGTTTCCCTGCTATAGGGACTGTGTTCTTACAGAGGGCCAAAAGTAAGGCGCTTTAATTTTCAGGTTTCCTCTTCCTAGAGTTGTACCTCCTTTCTTTGGCTGTGATGATAGTGTGGTATATTTGTTAAAACTCACCAACCTATGTTGATTCACTGTTACTAACCAAAGTCCATAGTTTATATTGGGCTTCACTCTTTGTGTGGCACATTCTATGGGTTTATGTCTTAAGTAATGTCATGTACCCATAAATATGGTATTGTGCAGATTGGTTTCACTGCCCTAAAAATTCCATGTGTAGTCCAGGTGCCAGTGGTTCATGTCTGTAATCCTAGCTGCTCAGGAGGCAGAGTTCAGGAGGGTCATGGGTCGAAGCCAGCCCAGGCAAATAGTTCTTGAGACCCTATCTTGAAAATACCCATCACAAAAAGGCCTGGTGGAGTGGCTCAGGGTGAAGGCCCTGAGTTCAAGTCCCAGCACAGCAATAAATAAATAAATAAATAATGTAAAAAATATATAGGATGCCAGTGGCTCATCCTTGTAATCATAGATACTTGAGAGACTGAGATTGGTTGGATTGTGGTTCCAGGTCAGCCTGGGCAAAAAACAGAAAAAAGCTGGTCATAGTGGTGTGCGCATCTGTCATCTCAGCAATGGCAGGAAGCATAAAATAGGAAGATTGCTGTCCAGGCCAGCCTGGGCAAAAAGTGAGACTCTGTCTCTAAAATAACCAGAGCAAGAAGGGCTGGAGGCATGGCTGAAGCAGTAGAGCACCTAACAAGCATGAAGCCCTGAGTATAAAACCTAGTTATGCCAAATGGGGGAAAAAGATCCCTGTGTAACACCCCCAACCCCAAATCTGACAACCTCTCACTCTTTTTACTGTCTCACTGTCTCTATAGTTTTGCCTTTCCCTCAAACTGTTAGGCAGTTGGAACCATGCTGAATGTAACCTTTTCAGTCACATCTTTCATTTAACAATGTGCATTTCAGCACTTCCCCATATCTTTTGGCTAATTGATAGCTCATTTCTTTGTATTGCTGATAATACTACATTGTAGAAATATACATGACTATTTGTCACCTATTAAAGGAAATCTTGGTTGCTTCTAGTTTTTGGCATCCATTCATAAACATTCAGAACACGTTTGGTTTTGTTTTCAACTTATTTTAGTAAATACCAAGGAATGTGATTACTAGATATATGTTAAGGCTGTGTTTAGCTTTGTAAGAATCTGTCAAATTGTGTCCCAAAGTGACTGTACCATTTTGCATTCTCACTAACCATGAATGAGAGTTCCTGTTGCCCCACATCCCTGGCAGCATTTGGTACTGTCACTGCTTTGGATCTTAAGCCATTCTAATTGCTGTGCCTTAGTATCTCGTTGTTTTAATTTGCAGCTCCCTGATGACATATGCTATGTAGAATCTTTTCATACCCTTATTCGTCATCTAGCTGAGTTATTTTAAGATCTCTACCATAGCAAGGAATCTTTTGCCTCAGGAAAGCAACATAGACACTACTGAAAGGAGGGAAGTTGCAGTCACTGTTCAAGCAGTCGACTGGCATCTGAGACTGACTTTTTACCAACTAACCCGGTGCCCCCATCAGCTTTAAGCACATCTAAGTAATTGGTTCCCTTTCTTCACTCTATGGAAGTAGCCTGTGCTACAAGTTTAGGTTAGAACTTGGTCACATTTCAGTCTGTTGGAGAGAATGACTCAGGAAGGTAACTACAGGGATGGGTGGGAGCCACTGTTTCAGTGGATGGTTGTGCTAGGAGGTCCATAAAGTGACCTTCCTGGTTTCTGCCAACTAAACTTTCCCTTCTTGTCCCTATCCAAGCAAGCCTCAGCAGCAGTTAGTCTAGCCATCAGATCAGGATGGCTCCAAGGTCTCAAATAAGCCCACCTCATTGGTTAACCTAGCACAAGCTAGCTTTTCTGATGCTTTGCAGCCCAACACATCCTAATTCAGAATCTCTATGTTAGTAAAGCACATCCTTTTCTTCTGTACCAAACCCTCGTTGCTATTAGGAATGGGCACTGTCACTGAAGGTGGGTGCTATTTTTATTGCACAGCCCAGAACTAAAGCAAATTAGACTTCATACCAAGAACTTGAAGTCTAGACATTTTGTATAAACTAAGGTACATGCAGCTCAGCTTAGTGAAATGTGAATGATTTGAATATTATGAGCGCCTTCATGGAAAAGTATTAAAAGAATAATAATAACTAGCATTTGCATTTATGTGTTTCACATAATTATCTCGTCTGAAAACTCATTCTTTCATTTCACACCGTGTCTAGGTGTTTAGGAGCCTCATAACAACTCCACAGGGCAGGTAATTTAGCTCCATTCAGCAGGTGAGAGCCCTGATGAATGTGGGAGGCAACGCGACCTTATGTGTCTCTGTCTCAGTATGGATCCTTTTCCTACAGGCTGTACCACATACAGCCTGTCCAGGAGCATTCTCAGGGCCTCTGGAGGCTGAGATAGTCTGTTTAGCTTTATCAGTTAAACACAGGGATGTGTTGGGGGAGGACGTTGAAAGCTCTCTGTGTTTAGATAAATGTAGAAATCATTTCAAGTGTTACTGTCAGAGAAGCAATGCAAACTTTGTATTTTTCATCTACCTGTTGTTTCCCATACCTGTCCAGTGAATGTTCCAGATTCAAAAAAAATTCTGTGTCCATTTCAGGTTCCACACCTCTATCCCACCCATCCTGGATTTAAAGGAACAGAGAGGACCAGAATCAACTGTGGATCTAAGCTCCACTTCTAGTGTACTCCCCTCCCCAGAGGTATAGCTGCACCTGGACATAGCAAGACCACCCATGCGGAGCACTAGCCAGGCACCTTGATATGGCTTTGTGTGATGGCCAAAGAAAGCTCAGCCTAGTGGACATCTGAGGCGATCCAGGTCTCAACCTGTTTCATCCAAACAGTTCTAATTATGTGGTGGGAAGATGATCATTGGAAGATTACCAGTTTTCATAAAACCCAGGTTAACTGGAAACTTCTCATGGGTCATTCTATGGGTACACTGCATGTCTCATTTTCACAAAATGATTTTTGAAGCTATCCCCCCACTTTTTTTTGAGACATGTTCTTACTGTATAGCCTAGGCTGGCCTCAAACTAACGATTCATCTGCCTCAGCCTCCTGAGTGCTGGGATTACAGATGTGCACCTTAGTACCCATGTTGTTCAGGTTTCTTCTCCTGCTATTCGGATGGGGAGGGTAAGCCCTGTTTGTGATAACCAGTGGGAGGAAAAGATGGTATGTGTAAGGGATTTCCATAGACCTATTATGTGCTTTTTGTACATTTGTACATTTTTATTTCCTTCTACTTGGATTTTTCAGTTATTCATAAGCAGAAGCTGGGTCTTTCCTTTTTTTCTCTGACAGTGCAAATGAAATAGGATAAACATCCCTAAGGAAGTATATGAAATATTAATCAAACCCTTTAAACTTGCCTAGTGTAAGAAACTGAAATTAAAAAGCTGGAGTGGAATTTCAAGATTACATAATGAAAGTTTCCCTTTTATTTAATCCACATTTCAA